CCAGCAAATCCGCTGGACCCCCCCCCAGCAGACCAGGGACACTAGAGTAAAGCCGCCGCCTGGGCGGCTTTGATCGTTTGCCCAGAAGCAAAGCCGCCCAGGCAGCAGGACCCCGCCGCCTGGGCGGCTTTGCTCCTGTCTCCCTGGTCTGCTGGGGGGGGGTCCAGCGGTTTTTCTGGACCCCCCAGCAGACCAGGGGGACAGGAGCAAAGCCACCCAGGCGGCGGCTTTGCTCGGGTGTCCCTGGTCTGCTGGGGGGGTCCAGTGGCTTTGCTGGACCCCCCCAGCAAACCAGGGAGACCGGGAGAAGTTTTTCTCGCCCCGGAGGACGCAGGTGGCGACCCGCCGCCTGTGAGCTCCAGGGCGAGAAAAGCCCCGTTCGTAAGTGCGGGGACTGCCTGTATAGCAAAACACTGCAAATGGAGAGTAATGCTGAAAAGTGAACATCATTCTGTTGCATTTGAATTTTATTTTAAGTATATATTGGTTTTGATTGTCTGCTTTTTGAATTTATGGGTAGAGATGTAAAATCCAATTTAGACATTATGTTTAAACAGTTAACCTGTTCAACTGGCTTGGGCTGGCCCCATTGGAAGGTATGTGGGAGGGCTGTTGGTTAAAGCACATGCTTACTGAGCAACTGATTAACCCTTTTTCATCCCTAATTTTGATCATTTGAAAGTGTTTTGCATATTGCTGCATTATGAAAGATCTAATCAGATCACATATGACTATATTCAATTTGGATGTTCCTTAATTCATTCCCCTTGCACATATTCATGATAGTACATGATTATGTAACTTGAATTTTATTTACATATAATATAACTTTTTACACCGCACCTTTTCCCACTTTAACTAAACCAGTGGGAATGTTGGTCTCCCTCTATCAGCTCCTTGATCCAGCTGTTTCATTTCATGCTGTGCACCTGATCTGATCAGTTGCCTTCCTTCACCCCATCCAATTCCTGTTTATTTTTCCCTCTTCCACATCACCAGGCTTCCTATATTAATCTGTCAGGGACCATTTTTCTGGACCATGATTGTCAGAGCATAGGGCTTTATGCATCTATGCCCATGTGCTCTCTGAAATCCTCTTGTTTGCGCAGAGGAGAATGGGTGGTAACATTCTGGCTGTATGTATTTGGCACAGAAGATATTTACCAAAAGTCAGCAGTCTGGCCCATTATATTCAGTGCTCATAAATAGACTCTTGTTCCAAAATACTTTGATTTGGGGAAAAGGAAGAAAAACTAAGCTTTTAAACATTTCACAGCAGCATGAACTATAAATAATTTCTATTACACAAAAGGTATTAAACATTGGCACACTTTATTAAAAATAGAAAAATGTTATCAAACAGTAAAAATCTGATTCTCAGCATTTCTTGCACTGTAACCTTTTAATGTTGTGCACTTGCGCTCCCCATCCAGTTCAGACTTCAGTAATGGTCTCTTTCTATGACTTAAGAGAATAAATAAAGATTAGTGTCATGGTACTACAAACTAATCTGAAAATTAAAGCAAAACAGATTTTAAAAGTGTAAGTAATCATTCGCAATAGCACAAGTAGAAATTCTATCCTTTGTCTTAATGTACCTAGCTTTTTGTTGTTCACTCAAGTCTTTGAAACATTTTAGACTCTGGGGGGAGTGAGGGGGGTTAAAGATCAAGTCTTATCTGAATTTTCTTTTGCCAAAAAGTATTTTCATTGGATTCTTTAATTTCTTTAGAGGCTCACAGTGTAAAAATACTACTGACTTTGCTCTTTGATAGTTAAAAAAAAATTAAGTAGTAAAAAAAACAAAATAGTGAGAAGAGAGGCTGAGGCAAATTAGAGCTTGCTTGTCAGTATTGAGTAAATAAGACACTGATCAGTGACCTTGGATTAAATGTAATTCCAGGGAACAGTTAGGTTTGCATTTCTTGCATTACTTGAAAATATTTTGCCTGTCTCTGGATACAATAAAAAGGAAAACCTCAGTGCATGATATCTCTTAAAGTCTTAGTACACAGTAATTCATAGATATCCATTCTTTCTTACTAGTCTAATCAAAATCCTATACAGTACATGATGGGTGGTAGTGGTTTAAAATAGAAGTGATTTTTTTTAAGTGACTGATATACTGTGAAACCTGTCTTCTTTTTTGACCAATAAAGATAGGTGTGGGATGAAAAATTCAGGATGGATGATAAACGATGACTGTAGCACAGAACTTATAGAAATGGCTTGCAACTTACTATGACTCAGCTACAGCACATTTCAGTTTATTTATATATATATATATATGAATAGCGAGAGTCTAAAATATAAGTAGGAAAAGAGCAGATTAATTGCAGTGATGCGGAATTGGAATTTTAAAAGGTAAGTGTTAGAGGGAGAGAGATGAAAGTTCCAGTTTGTTAGAGCAAAGGGTGGGAAGGACTGTTCCATCTGGCTGAATATAGTATAACTGAATACCTGTGTAGATGGACTTCTCTGGAAGCAGAGGAGCACATGGGGGTTCAATTTGACTGCATCAATTTGCAGTAGACTAAAAACTAAAATTTCTGTATATAATACATTTCTCTTGTGATTGGGAACACTCCAGAATATAAGATCTACTGGAGTAGTCAACTGAAAAGTAAATTAATATATTAGTTGAGTTGACTACTCTTATTCTCCCCCTTCCCACCGCTGCCTCTATATCAGCTGGTTCCCTCCCTCCCCCCAGCACTGTCTCTGCCCCCCCTCCCTGCTGCCTCCTATTAGAGGTGGGAGTGGGGGCAGGGGAAGCCGCTCCAGCAGTAGTCGCTGTCTGTGGGTCCCAGCAGGGAGTTAGGACTGACTGCCCGCAGACAGGGGCTGCTGCTGGCTGGGCAGGCAGCCTAGCTCATTCCCAGCTCGGACTGAGACCCAACTCCACTGTGACTCTGCAATTTAAAAGGCAGTAGGAGGCAGGCAGCCTGACCCCCAGTTTTAAATTGCAGAGCCACAATGGGGTTTGGTCCCAGCACAAGCTGGGACTGAGCTGGCTGCTTTCCCCATTGAATAGTCAATAAAAATTCTATCAACTACCCAATTACTAAAATAACCAAATGTTAACGTTCCTAGTACAAACTTCTGATCTTTCTCCCTTGTAGTAATCTATTCATTATTCAAATCCTAAATGATTTTATTACACTTAGGGCTCGTCTACATTGGCCCCTTTTCCGGAAGGGGCATGGTAATTTTTGAAATCGCAATAGGGAAACGCGCGGGGGATTTAAATATCCCCCGCGGCATTTAAATAAAAATGTCCGCCGCTTTTTTCCGGCTTTTAGAAAAGCTGGAAAAGAGCATCTACACTGGGCCCGATCCTCCGGAAAAAGCGCCCTTCGAAGTAGGAATAAGATCCTCCGGAAAAGGGCGCTTTTTCCGGAGGATCGGGGCCAGTGTAGATGCTCTTTTCCGGCTTTTCTAAAAGCCGGAAAAAAACGGCGGACATTTTTATTTAAATGCCCCGGGGGATATTTAAATCCCCCGCGCGTTTCCCTATTGCGATTTCAAAAATTACCATGCCCCTTCCGGAAAAGGGACCAATGTAGACGTAGCCTTGATGCTTAGAATCATAGTAGCAAAAACTCTTAATTTGCTCATCAGTCCTTCTCTCCTCCCTCCCCCAGGTGTCTAAGGAATTCCCCTGCTGTTCAAACAGTGCCACAGGGTAGAATTTTGGCCTTGAGACACTCTTCACTTCTGTTTCAGGCTGATTACCATTTCAGGGGTACATTACTTAGTTGACTTTAACTTTGCATTTGGAAGGTCCTCTCTGCAATAATAAAAGCTAGAAACAATAAAAAAATAGAGAATTAAATTGGTAAAACAATGTACATCATGTAAAGTTGCCTACTTGGAATTGACAGGTGAATTTCTCAAGTCCTGAGTCAAAAATGAGATTTGATAGTCATCTCCCAATATATTTTAATTGGCTATCATTCTAGATTTTTTTTTTTAAAGTACGGGTGTCTGTAGCCAGGTTAGTTTTCTGTGTGTAATGCTTTTTCATCTGAGCTGTGGTATGTGTGGTGTTTTTTTTTTTTTTTTAACATGATCAGTGGTACGTTCTTTTCAACTGTTAAATATCAAGGTACTCAACTCTTTGAACTCCATTTTCCAGGGACTCAAACCACTGGTATCAACAGAATCACCAGCTCTGATTTTTGGAACGCCAACTAAACTTGCCTCAGATTCACCAGCAGCTGTTTCTTATTTGGGTAAAAACAAGGTGCCAGACCTCCAGAAACTATTTCAGGTAAGAAATGCTTTAAGAGTAAATGTAAATAAACAGGGCTTAAGATAGTGGATCATATTCTGCCCTCCATTGAACCTGTGCAACACCTTCAGTGGGTTTGCATAATGGCATATACACTGTATAATTCAAATTCTGCAACATTTGGTCCAAAGAATGTTCATATTTGAAACTTTTAGAAAGGGTTTGTAGTAATTTTCATAATATCCTGTAGTTTAATGTTTATAGATTGATAATGAGGACCTGTCTGAATTCAGTCTATTTTGGTCATTTTCACAGTCACAGGATATTTAAAATCTCATGATTTTACCTATTAATGTGAAATGTCATGGTAGTGTAATTTTAGGGGTCCTGACCAAAAAAGGAGTGGGGAAGGGGGGTCACAAGGTTACTGTAGAGGGGTTGTAGTACTGCTACCATTGTATGCTGCTGCTGCTGGTGACAGTGCTGTCTTCAGAGGCAGGCAGCTTAGTTTGGTGGCTGTGGGCTAGGAGTCCAAAGGAAGAGCTGTCGCAAGCAGCAGTGCAAAAGTAAGGATGTCCTGGGATGGTATTGCTGCCCTTTCACATAACTGCCTGCTGCTGCTCTGAAATCCATTCAAGAATAAAGGTGGCAATACTATGTGTGTGTTTTATGGCCATGAATGTGGTAGGGCCCTATTGATGATTCATCATCAGTCTCTTGACACTGCACAGGAATTCTTGTACTGGCAGGACATCTGCTAGAAAGGAGAAATTCAGCACTCCTTTCTTCCTACTGCTACAGGTGCTCATCACATTCAGATGAGTTGTGAACATGTTTTCTTTCTGGGAACATAAGAAAATCTTATAATCCAACAAAGCTTCTGAATGTAAGGAACAAACTGTGGACTAACCTGCTGTAGTGTCCTCCAGAGCCATTGTGTGGATTAAGAACTTGTTTGGGATGGACCAATGGATGGAGTTTTTAAAAATAAGAATAAACTTCATATAACATTCTGTTACGAGAATTACAAGGGGTTGTGATTTTTAAAATGTACACAGCTGTCTTGCATGACATTTTTATTTGGACTGTGTAAGCTGTCTTGCATGACATTTTTATTTGGACTGTGTAATGCTAAATTGAACATTAATTGATACAAATCCTCAGCTATTCTCTTAGGCTACATCTAAACTACAAGTTTTCACATTAAAAATATGCTAATGAGGGACTCATTTGCATGAGTCATGATCTCATTTGCATATTTTCTGCCAACCCGTTTTTGCACTTTGCATGAGTCATGATCTTGCAAAACCCCCTTTTTCCACAAGATCCTTATGCCCCCCAAAAAGGAGGTATACTGATCTTGCGGAAAAAGGGTTTTTTGTGCAAAAAGAAAACGTCCACACTACTTGTTTTTGCGCAAAAAATGGATTGGCAGAAAATATGCAAATGAGATCACGACTCATGCAAATGAGTTCCTCGTTAGCATATCTTTTGCTGAGAAAACCAGTATAGACGTAGCCTTAGTGACACTTTTCAGTCAAGTGTCTTTTAGGATGGATTTTGAGAATATATTCTAAGACATGGTTACGCCTACAATTTGCAAGGTGACTATGACAAACAGAGGCACTTAAAATAAAACTAGTTTGCTCTTTGTTTTGTGCAGTTAGAGGTAAAACCCTAATTTTTTTGTTGACGGATTAGTTTACATAAAGGTTTGTGAGGTTTTTTTTTTCCTTTATCTTCCTCCACTATCTCAGCTTTCTTCTTATGTTAGCTGTGGTAGCTTGTTTGTGATCAGTATGCACTCAGCCTTTTTTTCATTTCCTGTGCTCTTGTTCTTCCACAGAAAGCTGATGGATTGCCAGTACATCTGAAACGAGGAGTTCCTGATCAGCTACTATATCGGACCACTATGGCTCTAACAATAGGAGGGACCATCTATTGTCTCATAGCTCTCTACATGGCTTCACAACCAAAATCCAAGAAGTGAATGAAGCCTAACTTACGGGACTGCCAGCATGCCTCTGAAGGAACAGTTATCTTACCCCTTTGAATTTACTAGTTAACACCACTTTGAATTTACTACTTAACCCTGTGATTATATGTTGTGAATTCTTCAAATAAAGGCATTAAGAAAACGGTTGCCTTCTGATACATTGGAAAGCAAGATAAATATCCATTTTAAAAATCATTCAACCTCGCTTGTCCAGGTCTCCAGTTTCTCTTTCCCATTTCTAATGTAAACTGGACACACAGTTGTCTTAAAACAGCCTCTGAGCACTTTAAGGTGGTAAAACTTGCACCCTACCTTTCAACAATGTTAAATTGGAAACGAAAACTTAATTGTCAAGTTATACCTTAATACCTACTTTCTCTGAAGGGAAGGAGAAAGAGAGAATTTTAGGGTACTATGGGTTTATGGAAGCAATAAGTGATTTATGTAACTTTCTACTTGATGTCAAAAATATTTTTTTCTTGTCATGCATGTTCACTTTAGAAGGTATAGTATGAAATACTTCCAAAGACTGATAGTGTTAACGACGGAAACATGGTTACTTAAATTTGTACCATTAGTGAATAGTATGACAGGGTTATGGTGTCCAAATCTAATGTCACATATTTATTCCTCAATATGAACACAGCTGCTGGTAGCAGTGTTGCACTTAGGCAGTGTTCTTTATTGTAACACCACCTATACAACTTTGTCCTTTTCTTTTTGTCAAATTATATTTTTAAAGTACTGTTTTTACTGTGGAATAAATACACCAATACACAAACATTGAAACGTTTTTGATTTAAAAGTCTTGTTCGATCTTTTCACAGGGCCCTATATTTGTTTCAAGTTTCAACTTACACTTTCTGAAACAGGCATCTGGTTGAAAAGTCACTAAACCTCACAATTATGCTAATAGCCAGGTCTTTTAGTAGTCTTTTACAAGAAATAATAACCAATATCTGCTTTAGTGAAAGGTTGCTCTATTTCATATCGTAGTTGCATGTTAACTTTTCCGTCAAAAGCATTTCTGGAAAATCATGCAAGTGTAGACGTAGCCCTTGTTTGTATCTATCCAACACATATTGAATTACATCCTCCATCTACATTTGCAGAAGTTGGCAGTCGCTTCACTAAAAGTACACCTAGCGGCAATCTCAGTTTTTCACCCACATATAGATGGTGTTTCAGAGGTAGCGCATCCACATTAAGGGAGCCTGCCTCAGACTAATTTCAAGGCTACCCTGTAGTGTGGACATGCTATTTTGGGAGTTATTTTTTCAAAATAATTCCATAGTGTAGGCATGCCCTAAGTGTAGTACTTTGCATTTGTCCTTATTAAACTTCATCCTATTTCCCTCAGACCTTATCTCTAATTTGTCCAGATATTTTGAATTATGACTCTGTCCTCCAAAGCACTTGTAACCCTTCCCAGCTTGGTATCATTTGCAAACTTTATAAGCGTACGTTCTATACAAATATCTAAATTGATGAAGATATTGAACAGAAATGGTCCCAAAACTGACCCCCTGTGAAACTGCATTTGTTATGCCCCATCAGTGTGACTATGATCCATTAGTAACTACTCTCTGAGAACAGTTATCCTTCAGTTATGCACTCACCTTATAGTAGCCCTTTATACTAGCCCCATCTAGATTGTATTTTCCTAGTTTATTGATAAGGTCATGGAAGACGATATTAAATGCTTTAGTAAAGTCTAGGTATGCTATCTCTACCACTTCCCTCTTATCCGCAAGACTTGTTATCCTATCAAAGTTATCGGATTGATTTGACAACGTTTGTTCTTTACTGGATTTGTTACCTATCAACTGCTAATTTTCCAGATATTTACAGATGAATTCCTTAATTATTTGCTCCATTATCTACCCTGGCACAGAAGTTAAGATGACTGGCCTATAGTTTTCTGGGTTGTTCTTATTTATCTTTTTATAGATGGCACTGTATTTGCCCTTTTCCAGTCTTCTGGAATCTCTCCCAATTTCCATGACTTTTCAAAGATGGTAGCTAATGGCTCAGATACCTTCCCTACCAGCTCCTTGGGTATTCTAAGGTACATTTCATCAGGCCCTGGTGACTTGAAGACATCTAACTTTTCTAAGTAATTTTTAACTTGTTATTTTTTATTTTAAGGTCTAAACAGACCCCATTTCCAATAGCATTCACTATGTTAAGCATCCAGTCACCAGAAGCATTTCTTCTTTGTGAAAACTAAAACAAGTCATTAAGCCCTCTACCATTTCCAGGTTTTCTGTTATTGTTTCTCCCTCTTCATTGAGGAATGGGCCTGCCCTGTCCTTGGTCTTCCTCTTCCTTTTAATATATTTGTACAGTGTTTTCTTGTTACTGTTTGTCTCTAGCTAGACTGAACTCATTTTGTAGCTACACCTTTCTAATCTTGCCCCTACATATGTGTTATTTGCAATATTAATCCTTTATAATGTGACTAGTTTCCACATTTTATAACTCCTTTTTGATTTTTAATTGATAAACTAAACAGTAACAAGTCATCAGGACCAGATGGCATTCACTCAAGAGTTCTGAAAGAACTCAAATGTGAAATTGTGGAACTATTAACTGTGATTTGTAACCTATCCTTTAAAATATCTTCTGCTCCAAATGACTGGAAGATATTTAATGTGATGCCAATCTTTAAAAAGGGCTCTAGAAGTGATCCTGGGAACTACATTTTGGCAAGTCTAACATCAGTACCAGGCAAATTAATGGAAACTTAAAGTAAAGAACAGATTTGTCAGATACATAGATGAACACAATTCATTGGGGAAAAGTCTACAGAAACCATGTAAAGGGAAATCATGTTTTACTAATCTACTAGGGTATGTCTACACTAGCTCGTTAATTTGAGGTAGGTAGGTAAATCAGGCAACTGGAGTTGCAAATGAAGCCCGGGCTTTAAATATCCCGGGCTTTATTTGCATGTTCCTGTCCAGCTGCCATTTTTAAATCCCCCTTAGTTCCAACAAACTGCCCATGGCTTCACACGGCAGTTTAAAGTTAATCTGAACTAAGTCCTTAGTTCGGATTAACTGTTACACCTCATTCCATGAGCTAGTTCTTTGAGGGCATAAAAAAATGTGGACAAGGGAGATCCAGTGAATATAGTGTACTTTGATTTTCAGAAAGCCTTTGACAAGGTCCCTTTCAAAAGACTCTTAATTAAATTGTCATGGGATAAGAGGGAAGGGTCCTCTCATGGATTAATAACTGATTAAAAGATAGGAAACAAAGGATAGGAATAAATGGCCAGTTTTCAGAATGGAGAGAGATAACTAGTGGTGTTCCTCAGGGGTTCTTCCTGGGACCAATCCTATTCAACATATTCATAAATGATCTGGAAAAAGGAGTAAACATGGAGGTGGCAAAATTTGCATATGATACTAAACTGTTCAAGATAGTTAAGACTAAAGCAGACTGTGAAGAGCTTCAAAAGGATCTCACAAAATTAGTAGTCTTGGCAACAAAATGGCAAATGAATTTTAATGTTGATAAAACATATTGGAAAACATAATCCCCACTATACGTATAAAATGATGGGGACTAAATTAGCTATTATGACTCAAGCAAGGTATTGAAGTCATTGTGAATAGTTCTCTGAAAACATCCACTCAAAGTGCAGCAGCAGTCAAAAAAGCAAACAATGTTAGGAATCATTAAAAAAGGGATAGAGAAGAAGACAGAGAATATCTTACTGTCTCTAAAAAAATCCACGTTATGCTCACATCTTGAATACTGCATACAGATGTGGACATCTCATCTTAAAAAAGATAGCATTGGAAAAAGTTCAAAAAAAAGGGCAACAAAAATTATTAGGGATTTGGAATGGCTGCCATATGAAGAGAGATTAAAGAGACTGGGATATGACAGAGGTCTATAAAATCATGACTGGTGTGGAGAAAGTGAATAAGGAAAAATTATTTATTTGTTCCCATAACATAAGAACTATTGGTTACCAAATGAAATTAATAGGTAGCAGGTTTAAAACAAACCAAAAGAAGTACTATTTCATGCAACGCTCAATCTTCCTGTGGAACTCCGGCTTTGTCTACACTACACTGATCTATTGGAAAAAGGTATGCAAATTGCACTCCCCAATTTGCGTAACTTTTTCTGACAGTTTTCTCAGAAGAGGCTTTTCCAAAATTTGGTCCATCTACACTGGGCCAAATTTTGGAAAAGCATCTTCTTTTGAAAGAGCCCTTATTCCTCATGGGAGGAGGAAGAGAGGGCTTCCAAAAGAGCGAATCTGCTCTTCCACAAAAAAAGGTGGAAGAGCAGACGCATTCGTTGGATGCGGCAGAGTTTTTCCGGGATACTGCCGGTATCCTGGAAAACCCCCAAAGTGTAGGCATAGCCTCCTTGGCCAAAGATGTTGTGAAGGCCAGGACTTTAACAGGGTTCAAAAAAGAACCGCATAAATTCATGGAGGTTAGATTCATCAGTGGCTATTAGCCGGGATGTGCTGGAATGGTGTCCTTATTCTCTGTTTGTCAGAAGCTGGGAATGGGCAATAAGAGTGGGGAACCTGTTCATTCCCTCTGGGGGCACTTAGCATTGGCCAGTGTTGGAAGACAGGATACTGGGCTAGATGGACTTTTGGTCTGACCTTGTATGGCCATTTTTATGATCTTATGTTTTAGATAATTTAAGATCTCCTAGTCAAGCCAAAGTGATCTCTTGCCATAGTCCCTAACTTTTCTTTGCCATGGAATAGTTTGCTCTTGAGCCCTTACTAATGTCCCTTTGGAAAAACTGCCAACTATCTTCAATTGTTTATCCTCTTGTCTTGCTTTCCATGGTACCTTACCTACCAGCTCCCAGAGTCTGCCTTCCTGAAATCCATTGTCTTTATTTTGGTGTTCTCCCTTCCTTAGAATCATGAACTCTATGAACTGTATGATTTCATAATCACTTTCCCCCAAGCTGCCTTCCACTTTCAAATTCTCAACCAATTCCTCCCTATTTGTTAAAATCAAATCTACAACAGCTTCTTCCCAGTAGCTTTCTCAACCTTCTAACTTAAAAAATGGTCTCCAATTCAGTCCAAGAATCTGTGCCCTGCTGTGTTAGCCTCCCCACAGATGTTTGGACAGCTGAAGTCCCCCAAGTCCTGTGCTTTGGATCATTTTGTTGTTAAAAAAAAAAAAAAGCCTCATCCACCTCGTCTGCCTGGGTAGGTGATTTGTAGTGGACCCCTAGCATGACATTACCCTTGGTTTTTTACATCTTTTAACCTAACCTGTAGACTCTCAACAAGTCTGTGTCCTATGTCTATCTCAACCTCAGTCCAAATTATACATTTTAAATATAAATGGCAACACCTCTGCCCTTTCTTCTCTCCCTTTTTTTCTGTTTCTCTGCAGGTGTTCTGGAACAAGTGTAACTTTGTCACCACAGAAATCAAGCTTTCTCCCTGACTGGGCCATATTGCCTTTGAGTGGTAACCAAACAGTGCCCCTGGAGGCTGAACCCAAGGAGCAGCTGAATATGTGCCAGCTGCAACCAGAAAATGAAATTCAACAGACCAAAATGTCAGCAGTCTTTCTCTCACAAGATATGTTTTAAAAATGACTGGTCTCTTGGCTACAGTAGAGCTGGATGGGTACAAAATTGGTATCCACACCCACATTTGCATCTGTAAAAATGATCTGTAGGTATCATGTAGATATAAAGCCGATATCTGGAAATGTGCTAGCTTCTAGATACAAAAGTGGTATCTGCATTCATAGCTGCAAAAATGAGCGGTGG